AGGACACAAGCCCTTGGGCTATGTAATACTTGGATCGTTGTACACTAAATAAAAACCAAATGTAAATCAGCACTGAACCGGTTTATAAGTTCACATAAAATGAACCGTTGATCTGAGGGTCTACAAATAAATTGTTTGCTCACAGATCATCGTATTACCGTACGTCACTTATATCCGTCATATTATAAGCGAAGCCAGGAAAGGACAATATGGTAACTGGCAACCCTAAAAAAAATCAATAAAATAGATATATACTTCAAAATACTATGAATTATATATTATCATAGATCCACATAGATAATTAAAAAAATATGTCAGTTATTTCCGTTCCCTAGCTAATAAGCCATATCTTTGGATTATAAAAAAAATTCTTTCCTACGCGCTTTCCCCCCTAAATCATCGGCTGACAACATATCTGAATTAACTCCTATCTTACGCAGTTTCTCTTTCATAAATTCCACCAAAATTAAATGTCATTTTTTTTAATTCAATTATAACCTTAAAAACTCTTTCTTTCTTCAGCTCAACTACGCTTCTAGCTACGAATTCGGATACAGAGTACGTGACATGCACAGCGGGAATAACTTCGGTCATCAAGAAGAGAAGAAAGGAGAAGAGACGAATGGACAATACCATGTTCTTCTACCGGACGGGAGAATGCAGAATGTAAGATATTCAGCAGGTCCCGAAGGTTTTCATGCTGATATCTCTTACGATCACTAATTTCTATAAATAGGTAGATTGCTTGGAAATGATCACTTTATGTTCCGACTAAATCGCGCCTGTTGATGTTACTGACAGTTAATTCTACCTAGTGCGAATTCTCACGTGCTAGCAACCGTCAGCGCCGAAATGGCGGAAATCAAATGGGCACGAAATAACAAGGTTTATAGCCTTTCCATGTATAGAGGTCATTGCTTGCGAAAATGTGTAGTGTAAAGGTTTAAATTTTAATAATGTTGGCAAACATGTTAACAACGTTTATGAATCTTTGAATATCCTAAGTTTCATTTGTATTAACCGTGGGTTTCTGACATTAAAATCTCTGTATAAAATATATCGCATCATCCCAGTCTTTCATCATTTAAATAATAAATATAACAATAAGTTTTAAACGGGGATTTTGATGTCAGAAGCCCACGACCACAGACTTATCCAGGTTATCATGAGTCGTAATAATTGATTAAACATATCAATTGCAAGTAATAAATTACTATAGTAGGCCATTCCACGCTTACTTACCCTTGTACAGGAATCTAGTTTTAGTATAATTACCAAGCAAAAAATATGGCCACATTTTGTCGTAATTATGTCTTGAAATGGTAATAAAATATTTATATAGCGTATAATTTACAAATTATTATACTTAAGGCTTAGTAATAATAATAAATATGCATTGAATGTGTTCAGTTTTACAGGAATGTAAATTAAAAACACAAAATATTTAAGTATTTATTTATGACATGTAGATAAATCACATTTAACATAAATATAGTTGGTTATTAAAATTAGAGGTAAGAAAACTCTTTTTGTTAAAATATACAATGTAAATAATAGTAAAATATTAATTATTATTTATAAAAATACTCATTCACAATTAATATTAAGTTAAAATATTTTCCGAATAACGGAACGTTTCACGCGAAGTTTAAAGTCAAAATGACGTCTCTGGATTTTTACTGCGAAAATATATACGCTTTCAGGCTGTCAAATTTCCCGCCTGCTTTCAAAGAGAAAGAGAAACCATGTTACAATAGAAAGTGATTTACGAGTGTGCTTTAGATGTCTTTATTTTCACTTAACATTTGCAGTTACGTATATTACGTAAATGAGAGTTATTTGTTGTTAAGTACATGATTACTTGTGATATTTCGCACATGTATATTGTAATAGTTTGGTTTTTGCTGACAAATGTTTGTCAGTTACATTCGATTATGAGATTATTTCTAATACTTTCTATTTTCTAAAGTAACAAAAAGTTTTAATGATTTGATAGTCAGAAATAAAATAAGTGTTTTTTTAAAGTATACAAACAAAAATTTTGTGGAAGATCATTCACAAGATTTATCCCAGTGGAAGAGAGGCTAGCCTTTTCAAGTAAGTTTATTTGAAAACTAATATTATGTTAGTTAAAAGCCTTGATTACTCGTATAAATGTTTTCTATGGGCAAGTGCAATCATCATTTTGGGTTGGTAACAATTTTTAGTAGACATTTTTCCATTGTACACTAAATAGTATAAGATTGGAAATAGAGAAATTCTATGTAATGTTGTTAAGTAAAAATTTACTAGTAGCTTATGTATTCTTCCAGACTGTTCTAAAACTATACCAAATTGCATCAAGATCCATGCAGCTATTCCGAAGATATCTTCTAACAAACATCCATCCATTAGCATTTATAATATTAGAGAGATTGGTGTATTTTAATCAGAAGTAAAATAAAAGATTTTTTTTTTCTTTATAACTATATTATTGCTATATAACATGTATAATTTAAAAATGTAACTGTCAACACAATTAAATTAGATCAATAAGAAATACATGGCAGTGTTAACTACAAAAGGTAATTTTATTTACAATAAATCCATACATTTTCATACGGTTATACTAAAAAAATGTATAAATAAATTTAAACATGTATTATAATAAACAAAAATATTATTAGTGTCAATATATAGTTGTTAATAAACATTCGTATGATTTTGAAGAATAAACAAAAAAATTATATGATTATGCATATAGTATATTTTATTAATTAAATACAATAGAACCTGGATATGCAAGAAACTTCTATAAGTGAGAGTCATTGAGCAACCACAACACAACACTGAGGATCTCCATAAGTGGCCGCGGACGAGAGTGTAAGCGTGCCCCTGGTCCCGTCCCGATGCATTGGAGGAACAGAGGGGTTTAGTGGGTATGCCTCCAATATGGAGGAGAATCCCACATAACTACCGCGTCTCCCCCGGGGCGCGGAGTATGCATAAAGCATTCCCCTCCGAAAAAAAAAGGATCTCCATAAGCGAGAAACTCAGGTGAAAAAATATCTATAAGCGAGAAACCTCTATAAGCATGATATCACAGTGCCTTTGACTCTCGCTTATCAAAGTTGAACTGTAATAACAATAAAATTAGTTATATTTATAACATTTATTATCCAAAAATTGTTACAAATTCCGGCATTGTTGAAACAATTCAATGATTTATTTGGCACTACCTATAAGCCTTATATAAATAAAAGAGATCTAAATATTAACAGATTATAAAATCTGAAATGCTAAAATCTAATTAGATATCCCAAAAATGTGGATAGATAGATTTTTTGCCAGCTGAATTCACTGAAATAGCGAAGTGAAGCGTAGCTCCAATTGGGGTGCTTTGACCAACAGAGGGGTTGCAAAAAAAATGATAAGTCCCCTTCCATGCATGCCCTATTCCAAATTTACTTAAAGATTTCAATAAATCTATTAACAAATTTGATATAATCTGAACAGCTATAAGACACAAACAGGCTATGTTTATTAATTTTTATATTACTGAGGGTAGTCAGATATTTTAAATTACAATGTAATCTAATCTAACGATATATAAATTGCATCATAACATATAATATATTCGAAAAGCGCGTTTATTTTTGTGATTACCATATATTTTTAATTATAACTTACTAAAAAAAGGCCATACGTGAATGAGATATGCAAAATTTTACACTATACTCGCGATATGTGAAAAAAATATATATTTTAGATACTATTATGTCTAATACTACTTAAGATACAAGAGAAATCTTAATTTTAACTTCCTCAAAATGGGTAAAACTCACATTATTACACAACAGACATACAGACGGACAAATAGTCAAAATGTTAAATAGAATGAGACATTTACAGATATTTGGGACAACGCCATCTATGGAACTATAATGAAGATTAATAACAACGCCATCTATCGAATAGACATTTTACAAGATTAGTAACAACGCCATCTATCGAACTATATCTTAAAATACAAGTAAATTAAAATTATTCCATTCTTTGTTTCTTGGGCGAAGGTTCTCCATTATCTTGACGATTGGCTGTTCTCTTGGGTTTTGATTCTAAACTTTTGGATAGATTATTACTCAAGGCTGTAATTTCGTAAGCTAGGCCTCTTATCCTGCCTATAGCTGTCTGAGACCTAGTTCTAGTGCTGCTGCTACACCCTGAAGTTGAGGGGATGGGGTCCTCTTTGTGGTCCGGAGATTCATCATCACAGATACTGGGTAGTTTTATTTGCGCCTTACGCGGTTTTATATTTGGGAGTACTGTAAAAAAATATTAATACTAGAAGTGTAAATTTTGTACAGTTTTCAAGTAAATTGCCCAAACGGAAAAATGTCAAAACCAAAAAAAAAATAATAGCCTATGTTTTCTTCCAGACTATGTTCAACATTGATGACAAATTTCATCAAGATCCATGCAGCCGTTCTGAAGATACCTTCTAACAAACATATGGACATACAACCATCCAAAATTTTGCATTTATAACATAAGTAAGACAAGGTAAGTTAGTTGACTTACATTTTTGATTTAGTTTAGAATTTCCAATCGGCAATAAAGAGAGGTCAAGTTTAATTTGACTGCCGAAATGTCTCAACGATTGTGACTTTGATCCACCGCTTACTGAAGATTCTGGAAAAAAAAACAATATTTTATCTCCCAAAATGTATTATGCGTTTCGAATATGAATGTATTCGCAATAGTCAAAAATCACTTCAAAAATGTAGTATTTAAAAAATACAATCTTAAACACCAGATTGAAAGTAAGGTTAGCGGTTTTTAGTTATTTTAAAAATTAATAATTCTCGTCAAATTTGCAAAGAACCACCAGTATTTACTGCTATCACTTTATTTTTTTTCTATTAAACATTATAAAATATCTACCTACAAATTTATTTGCAAGTTTAAAAAAAATTTAAAAAATTAAAAAATCTTGCGATTAAGTTTTATTTTCGATCTTACCTCCCATAGACTTTCCCCCAACTGCCTGGTTTGTATGAGTCAGTTCACTGTATTTGACATCACATTCATCCAAACGCTTCTTTAATTCACCTAAAAACATATTTTCATATTAATATTTTAAAAAAATGAGACCAACAAAAAAATTATAAGATCTGACAACCAGAAAAACACGTGAATTGAGAACCTCCTTCTTTTTGAAGTTGGTTAAAAAATAAAAAAAAACACAATGAAATATGATCCATTTAGACCGTAAAGAAATAAAGAAAAAATTAATTAGAAAAAAATCTTAACTATCTGTCCCAAAAAATATTTTTTGTACATTTTTTTATGTTTTATAAAAAAAAAATTTCAAGCCTATCTTACTCAAAAAGCATTTGATAAGAATCAAATCAGTCGAGTGGTTTTTTTTTATTAAAATCTTACAAAAAATAGCTTACAAATGGTCGCTTCTTGTTCTCTCTGCCGTTTGGACAGATCTCTGATTGTTCTCTTCTGTCGTAGAGCGATGCGTTTGTATAAGGTCATCTGAAATAAGTAAATCACTTAAAAATCCTGCTCGAAGGACCAAAAATGTCTAATGGTAAGAAAAGTGTTCTATGTAGTCATCTACATAGAACACTTTTCTTATCACATTACATCACATTATCTGTCAAAGGTTTGCGTCATTCTAGCAACTAAAAAAAACATTCCTTTCATCCATCTTTTATTGGGAAAAATCTACTCTTAAAAAAATTATATGATTTTTGATAATTTTTTGTGAATATACCGGAATTCGTGGCTATAACTACAAACCACAGAGAAATTTTAGACAAATTCAGAAATTCCTCCTTTTTGAAATTGGTTACAAAAAATTACTTACTTTTTTTATGAAATTTCACAAAAAACGTGGCTACAATCCACATAGTACTTTAAAGTTTATATTAATCAAAAAAACTATCTTTTTTTGTATATCTATGATATATTTAGTACTAAAATCACTTTTAATACCATCTTTATTAAGCAAACGATTTCTCCATTAACAAAATCATCTAAACATGTGCAATTTATCTCACTGACCTGTTTATAAAACATCTTATATTGAGATGACAGGAACAATGAAAGTTTAGCATTGGCCGTTGACATCTGACGGAGATGTATGAACTCTTGCCGCGTGGCTGTAGGCGTTATTGTGGTCACTGGTAAATAATATATTCTCTTATGTATACGTCACATCGTTTCAAACAAAGTATATATGACGAGATTTTAAAAAAACAATAGTTGTTGTCCGAGACTCCACTCGGAATTAAAACTTAATTAGCCTTTGTGTTCATCTAAACTATATTTTACTTACAAGTCAAATTTCAGCGAGATCCATGCAGCCGTTTTGGAGATACATTCTAACATCCATCCATCTTTACATCTGTTTATTTTTACTCTATACAATTAATAAAAATTGAAATGCTACATGAAAAAAAACATAGTTTGTACACATGATGTGTTTGCGTAGCTTAATACCGAAAAACCAATTTTTTAAATTTTTGTCTGTCTATCTGTATCATCATCATCAGCTCACTATATGTCCCCACCGAGGGGCTCGGAGCCTACCCTAAGTTAAGGGTGACTAGGCCATAGTCAACCACGCTGGCCAAGTGCGGGTTGGTTGACTTCACACATATCTTTGAATTTTCCTTCACCGTAAGAACGTCAGATAAATGTACATATGTAAATCGAAAATCGAAAAACACATTGGTACATGGCGGGATTCGAACCCAGGACCTGCAGATTACAAGTCAAGTGCTGAAACCACTGAGCCACCGACGCTCATATCTATCTGTATGTCGCTCATATCTATGTCTATCTGTATGTCTGTCCGCAAATCTCGGGCGAACCTTAGTTTACCTTATCAATATTACTGAAGCAAAATTTTACATGGATCAATGATTGTTAGAGTATATCTCCGGAACGGCTCAACAGATTTGTCACAGATGTAAAACATAGTATAATATAATAAGAAGTAAGATTAGTATAACTCACCATGCACTGGTCTAGGTATCGGTATAGTCACAGTAATATCTTGCAATCTTTTCCGGAACGCGGGGGATATCTTATCATCAAAATGTTCAATAGCCATGCTGGATATATCCCTCAATTCTTGCAGCACTTCATGAGCTCGAGGTGGACTTTTACATGTATCTACCATCTCAAGAATGCGTTGGATTTCATCTATTACCTAAAATAATTAAAAAAAGATATTAAAGTAGAATTATTATTCAAGAATAACTGTACAGGTGCGCACAGAATTAAAAAAACAACTTAATAAATAGTCTATGTGTTCATCCAAAGGATGGTTTACATTTATCAGCGAGATCTATGCAACCATCCCGGTGATACCTTCTAATATCTATCCATACATCCAAACATTCACATTTATAACATTAGTAAGAAGTAAGATGTGAATATCTTTAGATGGGACACTCATGAATTGACATAATTTACAATTTTACAGTAACATAATATACTCACCCTTCCAGGTATAAAGCAACACATGCCACTGTCAATAAATTTGGAATATGTCATATTAAGCATTGATATCCTTGTCTCTATCGATGTTAAAATATCACAATGACGTGCTAAAGGGTGATATCTAAAAAAAACAAATACATAAGTAATATTGTATTGCTTAAAGTACCAGTAACTCAGAGCTTAAGCAATTGAGTTGTAATCTGCAGGTCCTGGGTTCAAATCTCAATTGAACCAATGTATTTTTCAATTGAAATACATTAATCCAATGTACTTACAGTGAAGAAAAACATTGTTATACCTGCACATTTCTGCAAAGAAATTCAAAAATGATTCCTTTCGGGCAGAATTAAAAAACTTAATTAGTAGCCTAAGTGTTCTTCCAGACTATGTTTTACATCTATGCCAAATTTCAACAAGATCCACGCAGCCATTCTGGAGATACTTTCAAATAAACATCCATCCATTCATACAAACATTCACATTCATAATATTAATAGCTGTCGACTAAGACTCCGCTCGCAGGGAATTAAAAAAAACATAATAACTAAGCTTGTGTTCCTTCAGACTATGTTCCACATCTATATAAAATTTCAGCAAAATCCGTTCAGCCGTTGTGGAGATAACTTCTAACATCCATCCTTCCATCTAAACTTTCGCATTTATAATATTAGTAAGAAGTTATATTGAAAAGACCGATGTTTTCCATATTCCAGCATAAATAGTAGTTTACTAGAACAAAGGTTATTAACCTTATTACCAACATCGGCACAATCTGATTTATGACATCACACAATCACATTTATTAGTTTTCCTTATGTAACACCTAATGCAGTCTTCGTGAGTCATACGAAGATGCTAGATAATTCTGGTTATGTATTTTCCTTTTATACTGTTCACTTTAACCTCTCTTTGTAACACAGAGTTTAATGACAAATCAAAAAAAACTGCAACATTTTTCTCGTTTATAGAGATTTCTGTTATACCAGAGTTTCCCACTTATGAAGTACTGAATCTTAATAAGCGAGAAATCTCTATAAGAGAGATTATTGCAGTCCCTTGGATTCTCACTTATTTGGGTTAAAGAGGATATTCATTATTCATTCAACATTATTCATACTTATTGTCAAATTTTTTCTGTTGCAATGTAAACCTACTACATATTCTAATTTTAGGGGAGGGTCAGCATAAATAAAATAACTGAAAATTACGGCATTATTTGCGGCTTAAATATAGTTATGAACCATTTTGTTTTTCCATTTACAGTTAACCGACGTATTTCGGGTGAAGTTATACATATACTGACGTACCCTGCCCAATTCTGCGAAAAAATTCAAAAATATGTGTGAAGTCAATTCGCACTGGGCCAGCATGCTTGACTATGGTCTATTCATCACTTAAGGTAGGCTCCAAACCCCTTAGAGGGGATGTATAGTGAGCTTATGATGAATGAAAATAGATTTTAAACACATTTCATCACTGCAAACAATTGATTAATTATTATAGTTATTTACTTACCTTCGTTCTGACTCTCTACGAGGGAGCTGTGCTTTAACAGTCTTCAGAGCTAAGGCATGTCTCTTCTCAATCATATGAAAGCCTCTGTTGAGCATTCTCATACATATCTCGTTGAATGCTTTAGACACCTGAGTCACCAAGAAAAAATTTAAAAGGTTGAATTAAGTGAATACAAAAATAATTTTGAGGTGATAATTTTTTTTTTTGTATCTTGTACATTATACTTGAACTAAAAGGAGAATCATAATAATTCTGCATGTTTGAATTTTACCTATTTGCAGAAAATTATTTTCAAAATTGAATTCTTAACAAAATTAACGCAAGTTAAAATGTATATTAACAAAGGTTTGCATGAAATTAATTTGTGAAATATTAAGCAACTTTTTTTTGTTTATATGTAACTTTAAATGTTATTTAAGTTTAGTTCATTCTTATGTTTTTGGATATAATTTTTAATTGTTTAATCTTTTGTGTGACGACGTGGCTTTAGATGGAAATTTCATTGTACCAGTTAAAATCTACTGATTTGTATTTATTACTTTAAATAGAAAAATCATAATATCAAAACAAATGGTCATTTCTATAAATAAAATAAACTTACTATTCTAACTCTTGCCATTTCGTCGTACGTTAGTTGTTTGATGATATTTTCAATTATTATAATTGGGAGATTAAAAAGATCCATTTTGTAGTCAATATAATCACCAAATTAAAACCATGAGACACAAAAAACTGCTAAACGATTATGTTTACTTTATTAAGAACCTATCAAAGCGGTTATGATTTACGTTTCGCGATAATTCATTCTTGTTCTTCGATTCGTTCTATAGTTCTATGCAGGGTTACCATATGTCATAAATTGTCTGTCATTTTGGTAATTTATTACAAAACGAATTTTATTTACAGCAATAAAGAATTGCACGATACAAGTAAATTAATGAAATATATCTTTAATTCCAAATTTAAATCGATTATTTAGCTATCTCTAAAATATCTAAAGTCGTATTCTTTTCTAAAATCAATAGAAACATATTTGTTTCTTAGTTTAATGGTCTTGATAATTATTTTAATTTTATGGAATATTTCCAATTTTTTTGTATCAAACCCTAAAAAAATAATATTGGTACTGTGGATATTTAAGAATTACCTAGTTGTAACCCTGAAAAGAAGGAAGTCACATAGATTATGTATTGTTTGTGGTGTGTGTCATTATCGATCAAAATGGATGTCAAGTTATGGTTTAAAAAATACTGTCGGATAGAATTTTATTTGATCCGGAGGGCATATGATTTTATAGACCTAAAAAGTCGTAGGTATCCTCTTTTCAATATGTCGGACTATTACAGTTCCATAAGAATATTTAGGCAGTCGAAATTTTTTTGAACAATGTCATATTGACAGCGTCATATTTGACCAATGAAGTAGCGGCAGCAGTTTAATGTTGCCATTTTCATTATTCCGAAATAACAATAATTTATCATATATCGTTTTAAATAGACAGGAATTACTTCAAGAACTTGGATTATAAGTTGCAAATCAATTTCTTGGAGTTGTAACATGGACGAATTTTGGAGCATCGGGAACACTATTTTCGGGTGTTTATTGACGCCCATGGACATCTGCAATACCAGAGGAACCGCAAATTCGTTGCCGGTCTTTGTGACATTTTTGCTTTCTGATAACCCTTACTTGCAGGCGATGTCCTGTCAATAGCAAAAACGTTCCTTGTGTTCTTGTTTGCGTGTGAGAAAGATCTTTGGGGAACCCTTGGACTATCTATTGAAGCCGAAGAGCTGCGACTTGCATAAGAATTTGGAAGTTGGGAAGACGCCTTTGTCCACACGGAACAGACACAAAAATATTTTTTTTTCCAATGAATTATGTAATATAAAATAATGTAATCTTAACAAAGGCTTATTATTGTTTTTATTCGTTTGTTATCTTAATTCTTATACTAGCCAAAACGGTGTTTCAATAGGATTCGAAAATATTTCGACCTAGCTATAATTTATAGAAATTGTGATTAAATTTGTTAACGATGAACACAGTCTGGAAGAACACATAGGCTAGTAACCTATGGGCTACGGGCCTACTAAAACCCTAACGCCGGCCCTGCTTGTTATTACAATATTTATAATGAACGCTCTGATTATTTCTGAAACCAACGTATACTTTATTCTCGTTTATTCCAACGCATCGCGAGTGTTTTTGGTTTTAAATGTTAATCTGTTAGAATGATGACCAAGAAATAAATAAAACAAAAATATACTTTAATCAAACATTTATTTTAAAGTACGTAATATAACGGTCATATTTGTAAAATTAAATATTACAAACCAACGACAACCAATATAAAAATGGAGGTCAGAAATATTTTAAATTTTAAGTTTTCGGAATCGTGCGCTAAATTGAGATACCACACGAGCGTTGCTTCATCGCAGCGTACGAATCAACACTCATGAATCAGAATATGTTTGGTACAAGTATTTGCCGTTTAAATTCCGTCCTATTGTCGAGTTCTCTGGTGTATAACACCTTAACTCACATGTTAACGTGCCCTGTCTTTCTTATTTGTATAAAATAACAACATAACCATCGAAGCTATGACAACGCAAACGCATGTGTGGCATCTCTCTAACATTAGTTTATTTGGACATCAATTTTGAAACTGACGGTCCCAAAATTTTGTATTGGTATAGAGTATAAAATGTACAATTCATATTTAGATTTTAATATATAAATAATACATCGACCATAACAATAAACTAGATTAGCGGTTCCCAAACCTGTTTCACTACGGAGCCCTTGGGAAACAGACTTTTTGACTCAACCCTAGGCTCTATGTATTTTTCTAGGCCCTAGGATTTGAAATTATTTTCTCGCGTGTTTTGTTCGCGCGTCCAAACTTTTGTAACTAAGGAATTTAAATTTTTTACGGATCTTTCGATGGAACTATACACGTATCCCTTGCCCTTTAGAATTTTTATAATTATATCTTTGTAAACTCCCAGAAAAGGTTTGCGTAACACTAGGCCTCCGCGGAGCATACACAGTTTGAGAAACGCCGGTCTACATATTAAAATGTTTGACGTATTAATTCTTTAGCATTGGTATATGTACCAAAGATGCCAAGAAAAACACCAAAGATACATATTAATATCCATTTAATTAATCTCCATTTCATGAAACCCAAGCCTGGGGAATCCCATTCTACGCATAATTCGATACATGCCGGGTAAATAAAGCCCATATTTGACAAGCAAAATGAACCAAGCTGAAAAAAAGGTATATCGTTATTAAAAAAAACTAGACCGATTGTATATCTGCGACGCTTAAGGGAACAACACCAATCCCAAGACAGGAACAGGGTTATGGAAGACTAATTCGCAGACATGTGGCGCCCCTTTCTGTCCAGCGCCCTGGGCGGTTGCCCAACCGTGCCCTATCCTAACGCCGGCCCTGATTGTTACGCTTATTACATTATTTTTGAAACCAATGAATCCTTTTATATTATTCTGATTCATTCAAACGCGTCGCGAGTATTTTTGGTTTAGAAGATCTAGTAATTTGACTAAGAAATAAAACAAAAATATACTTTAATCAGGCATTTATTCTAAATTAAATTTAACGGTCACATTTGTAAAATTAAGCGTTACAAACCAACTATTCACAAAAGCCGATATAAGAGGTCAGAAATATTTAAAAATTTTCTTAAACTTTTCGAAAACATGTATTGATAAATTGAATGAAATGCCACACGAGCGTTGCTTCATCGCAGCGTACGATATCGACAGACACTGTGCCACACACAAGACGCACGCAGACAAAAGCACGTGTGTGGTCACGCACTAACTACTATCTTTGGACATCAATTTTCTTATTGACGGTCCCAAAAATTGTCATTAGTTTTGTGTATAAAATATAGATCTACATATTTAAAATTTGATAGTTTTTATAGATAAATAATAAACCGACAATTATAATAGTCTAGATATTTAAAACGATTGACGAATTAATTCTCTAAAATTGGTATATGTACCAAAAACACCGAGAATAGTACCAAAGATACATATAAATATGCATTTTAATAGCCTCCATTTCATGAAACCCAAACCTGGGTACTCCCAATCTAAGCATAGATCGATGAACGCCGGGTAAATAAAGCCCATATTTGACAAGCAAAATGAACCAAGCTGAAAAAAACAACCTATATCATTTTTAAATACCAAAAACTGGATTGTATAACCATAGACACCAACTCGGAATCGCTTTCCATTTGTAATGTATCCCGACAAAACGTAAAGGCTCGGTAAATTTCATATAGAACGAATTCATTCACAAATTGATTTATATTTCGGTTTTTTGACTTGTATTGACACATCGTGTCATCTCTCATATTCTCTTCGACAAAATAGAGATAACAATATATGTCAATCCAAGAGTAACGACAGTTGTAACTTACTATAAAAATTTAATAGGTTATATTTATTCCAGTAAACGTATTAGGTAATCTAGTGCCCTGTCGAGTTAATAGGGTTATGTGAAACTTTATAATTCGCATACCAATGGCGCCCCTTTTTGTCCAGCGCCCTGGGCGGATACCCAACCCTAAATCCGGCCCTGGCACTATCATCACTATACCACGATTCTTTTATGACTACACAGAAAATGCTAGTCAATAAACATCGTCAATTATGTATTTCAAAATTAGTATGAAGTTTTTAGTGTAATTTAAATAAGACGCTGTACTTTTAACGCAAATTTTGTCGGTGACTGCATTATGACATCACAAATATTGGTGCTAGGCCCAAAGGCTAAATATTTATTTCGACTTACCAGTCCAATAAAAGAAGATACGTTGGGAAAGATGAAGGCAATTAATGTGATAACTATAACAAACGATCCTCTGTAAACTCTCTCCCAAAACCAATATTTTGTGGGGGGGTATCTCTTCTTTATGTAGTACCAGACCAAATCAAAAGGCACCCAAAAGTTTAGTGCAAATGTCACGTAGATGATAACAGCCATAAATACTTTGAGAGCAATCGAGAACCTAAAAGTAAAAAAAAATTAATAAAATAAGACAAAAACCAATGATTTACAAAAGATAAAATAAATGTTTTTTTTTCTCTTATTAGTGTAAAACTTTGATAATATTCATCAGTTCCCAATATGCATACAAGTATTATTTTTTTACAAGACCAATTATTAGTAAGAAATTCTAAATATTCTAGTTTAGCTTATTAGTTTTTCGTATAGCATTTGGTAAATTCATAACAACACAAATTCACCGCCCGCGCTGTGTCGTTGGCACGAGAAACGCATCAACCAATGACAGATCGCGAGCGGAGAACAAAAAAAATGGCGATTTTGGTTTTCCCGCGATAAGTGTCTGCGCAATAAATAAATGTAAATATTTCCCTTTGTGCTTTAAAGTGTAATAAAGTGATTAAGTGACTATCATTAACCATTTAGTAAATTATTATTATCATACTTACGCTGTAAATGGAAAATTCAGTGTAACAGGAGACTTGGAATCTTCACCGAAGCCCCAATAGCCAAAAGTTCCTATTACGAAGACAATGCCAACCACAACGCTCATACCTGTCAAAGGAAAGCATATTTACACTTAATTCTTCAAATAAATTAACGAAAAAATGCTTTTAAATCGTTTTCATTTGATGAGCACGCAAGCCACATTAGCTAACTTTGAGATTAGCGCCATCTGTCGCGCCGGATACGAAAATAGTCAAATGGACAGACGGAGGTGCATTTAGAAATCGCTTATTTTTAGGTGGGCCATTTCAATAGGCCACATTGAAGGCTGTGTGGCTATATGTAACATAAAAATCTTGTCGCTTTTAACAAAAAAAGTATACGATGTGAATTCCATCAACTTTCGACTCAGCATCGGCATTAAGATTAAAAAGAAAAAAAAATTTAAATTGCTATAACGTTGTTGAAATTCGAAAGAAAAAAGTATTTTGGACGGAAACTTAAAGACCATTGAAGGCATCTGCTGCTGCTGCTGCTGCTACTTCGGATGTCTATGGGCAGCGGTGTCTGCTTGGAAATCAAAAATTGTGTCTATGGTAATAAAAATTTAAAGTAATTTACCTAAAGCTAGTACTCTTCCAATCTTTTGAGGCTCCTTCATGTTATTCTCAATTGCCATAGTCGCCCCCACGCCTTCCATACTAAAAACACATACCCCCAGAAACTCGAACAGACCGGGCATATTTTTAAACGCCGGCATTTCAAACATACTCACTTTGGAAAAAGTACAACCGTAATAAATGGTAGCTATAGCCAAGATAACTGTAACAAAACGATTAGTTAAAATAATTTTATTGACATTTAACAACGCCATCTATTGGGTCCAATATAAAACAAAGCTTTGGTTTTTTCAATTAACTCTGTCATTCCAATGGACTAAAAGCCTACTCTTATTTAGCTGAGACTGGTCAACCATGCTGACCCTTTAAAGTAAAAAAAGCGACAATTCAAGCATCTTACGAATATTATCAATGCGAATTTTAGGATATTTGTAAAAAGGTATCTCCAGAACTGCTCAACCGATCTCGATGAAATTTGACATAAATGTAGAACTGTCTGGAAGAACTCTTTTGCTGCTATTTTTTTTAATACCGTGTGGATGGAGTTGCAACGTTACTCCGTTCAGCAGTTCTGCAGATACCTTAACAAATATCCATCCAACTAAACATTCGTATTATAACATTAGTTTTAGACAGTTTTAGAGTCCTTTGGCGCGAATTGCGCACTTTCATTACCAAGTCAAGTGTCAGAATGATTAGTGAGGGGACATAAACGTTGACATTTTAATAAGGCTAGTGTTGCGCCATTATACCGGCATAATGTCGGATTTTCTTCCTAACAGCAGTAAGATTTCAATATAAAATTACTTAAGAAACAGAGTACAAAAACTTACGTAGAAATATATCAGCAAGGATGGAGAACGGTGCCAGGTATTTCAGTGTTGTAATCATACAGATCAATATGCAGGGTACAAGCAGCATTAATATATACATTCTTAAGGGTGGATTTCCTTCGAGGGTTACTGTATCCGTGCCCTCGACCAGCTGCTTTATAGTTCTACAGATAACAACTTGGTAGACGCAACAAGATCCGAACAGATCCACGCAGATTGTGAAATCCACAGCGTACCTAAAACAACGAATAACTTAGTCATTTTATAATTAACCTCGTCAGTAACTAATCTGACCCGTTGAAAGACAGTACTACAGTAGTTAGATCCGTCAGAAAATATAGAAACTACTTAGGCATAAAGACAATCTAAACGAAAAATAACAAGAAAGGTAAAGTCCAACTAAGCTCTTGTGACACTTGTTCTTTGATGGATGCAACTAGCATTACCAGGCGTCCGGATAAAGCCGGTTATAGGTAGGTTTTTTGAGTGCGTATCCGGCGAAAAGGTTGTCAAGGCCGGACAACCTTTTCGCCGGATTATTGGGCTTTTTACATTTCGCAATCGAGAATGGCCCAGTGCAGGTATCCTCAATAATGTAAGGTGTCCGGCCTTTCTATTCAAATGTCCTGCCAAACTTACTGGTCTGTCCGGTTTGGCAACCTGGCAACCCTAGTTGCGTCAATGAGCTATATTTAAACAAGGATGTCTATTTAATCCGTTGAGGGGCGCTGATGTCGGTTGATTCTGTCAAGAACAAAGACCGACATGGATGTCAGATATAACTCACTAGCGCCGTCCCTCAATATCAAAATAGTATCACAGGATCTTTGTCGTAATTTAGCTGTCTTATGTTTTTCTTGAATGCCATTTTCTATGACAGATATATTTAAACAGCGCCCTTCTAATGGCGCCAGCGGTGCTAGACAAAGTGCATTCGCTTCGAAGCGATTCCATAGCGAACTTCAAAGATGTACGGAACTGAGGCGCGACAATCACGTGACTTAGCGAAAGTTACTGTCAGTTCTATACATTTCTAAGTTCGTAATGGAATCGCTTCGAAGCGAATGCACTTTGTCTAGCCCAAAAGATATTGATTAAATATTTTAATGAACCTAAACTGTAACTGTAAAAGCACTTAAAGAAAATGAAGAATAAAACATTTATGATTTTTTACCTCAAGCATTTGCTATATTTCCGTATTTTGGGAAAGGGACAGATAGCGATCGCTGCTTCAGCTACATCTGGGTAAGACATCGTTGCGATGTGCAACCGACCGTACAGCCTTTGAGCCGACTTCGCTATCATCTGTATTTCAAAAATTATATTTTGAGCCATTACACATATGAAAACTGAGTAAAACATTACGTTAAAGGGATGTAACTATGCCGCACAACTTGTTATCGATAAAAGCCGCTCAGACGCAGGTAAATATTTCATCAGCTCACTATACGTCCCCACTGAGGGCTTGGAGCCTACCCTAAGTTAAGGGTGACTAGGCCATAGTCAAGCATGCTGACACAATGCGGGTTGGTTGACTTCAAACATATGTGCAGGTTGCATCGCGATGTTTTCCTTCACCGTAAGAAAATATCAATTATTTTTATTTTCTTAATCTTAATTCATAATCGCTTTAAATGTAAACAACGCAGTGGACACGATTTTTCCTATCAGTACGTCCCAACCTACGCCAAAACCACTTACCCTTCTATTCTTTGTCTCGTTGTAAGAGGTGTGAAGCAAGTCACAAAATAAGGGTTTATATTCCACTATTATCCGACGTTCTTACGGTGAAGGAAAACATCGTGATGCAACCTGCACATATCTGAGAAGTAATTCAAAGATATGTATGAAGTCAACCAACCCGCACTTGACCAGCGTGGTTGACTATGGCCTAATCACCCTTAACTTAGGGTAGGCTCAGAGCCCCTCGGTGGGGACGTATAGTGAGCTGATGATGATTCCACTAAGGATGAAGGGTTTACTTTCCTTTTTGCCTTTAGAGTCCAGGTTTGAAAAATTGGATTAAAAATTGAAAGTGTAATACGTAATTCATGTGATTGTCATTCTATTTACTTACATACATACAATAACTGATTAGAAATCCTATAAAAATGGTGAGACCCATTGATGTCCAAAGTCCGCAAGCTTTGTATGACTCGTGTATGGCCACCACGCCTCCGCCGAGACAACTCTTCACCAGATGACCCACTGATTCTAAAATACTGTTATTAAAAAAAAACAAACAATTGAAAAAAACATGAGAAATTAAAAAAAAAACAGAATTTGTACAACTAGGTTTTTGTTGTTTTTTTTTATTAAAAATAACTAATTCTTCTATTCATTTAAATAATTTGGCAGAATTAAAGCTACATTTCAGATTATTCAACGCAACAAAATAAAGGTTAGTTCTAACTCTTTCAAATTGTTCGACATAACCGTGGGTTTCTGACCCAAAATCTCTGTTTAAAATATTATATCATTATCTCTGTCTTTCATCTTTGATATAACAGAGATAACAATATGTTTTAAACGGATATTTTGTACTCGGAAATCCAGTTACCTAAATAAAGTGGCGTGTAAGCCACGCATAAGCCTCGAATAAACAATATGACGTAGTCTAATCGGGGCTATCGTAATCTATCTCTATATATGGATAGCTCATTGCTTGAAAATTACAGTTACTGAAAATTATTTCTATAAGAGCCCGCTTTAACATCTTCGCACGAATTGTCCCGGCTCGCCCGGTGAAATACCATGACCACACAGAAGACACGCCTCAAGTGGAAGCAATTCCGCGTACAGTCTGATGAGTGTGTGTCCCGGAGGCCTAATTTAGTCCTCTTTCCCATCCCACCCTTTCTATTATAAGGAAAGGATGGGAAGTGGAAGTGGACTTTCCGGATGAGAGGATGCATGGGAAGGGAAAATATATTATTTCTGTGCATCCTCTCCCTCGTCAATTAAAGGTAGGTAACGCATATGCGATTGCGTATGTATATGGGCAACGGTTACTTCGCTATTTCAGCGATTTCAGGTGGCAGTTCGCGCGTTTGCCACGTAATATAAAGAAAATTACGAGATATCACTACCACTGCAAACCGCAATCAGCGTCAAAATGGTGAAAATCAGACGTAAAGTAATATTGTTTATAACATGTCCATGTATAAAGTTATAACATACTTAGTCTTCTTTCCTGGAGGTCTAGCACTAACAAAGTCGTAGCTACCAGCAGAGGCAGCGGGAGATTTGATTTCAAATGTTCGTCGATGTCCGCGATGTCCCGAGGATGTACTACTGTCCTCGGTAGTGTCCGCAAAAACTCTATTCTGTAATCATACGATATGTACAGACTGCAGAAAAATATTAAAATTTAAAAAACATATTAATCCCGAAAAGAACAATTAAAACTATGATTAACGATAACTCCTACGTAATTGTATTCCGCAATTTGACAGTTTGCAATTTAAGCTATTGTCTTTTGAGAGGTATAATTGATCGTTAAGCCGATTTGCGCAATTGGAAACACCCTGACAAATGAATATAATATTTAGATTTTGCCTTTAATTATATTTCAATAGTATTTAGCAATTGATATTTAGAATTATGATATTTAAACTAAATCTCTTTTGCAACATTTTGTTGGCTCGCCGCACAAAAGACAGACGTCAAGTGGAAGCAATTCCGCGTTTCATCTGATGAATTTACGTGCCCGAGGCCTAATTTTTGTGCTCTTCCCCTTCCAACCCTTTTCTTGTAAGCGACGGGAAGGGGAGGTGAATATGGCATAGATATCATCTCTTTTTTGCGTCCCCTCTTCTGCAGATATGTCTATGGGCAACGGTCATTTCTATTTCGGTGATTCAAGTAACCGATTGCTCGTTTGTCAACTTTTGCTATAAAAAAATTAAGAAAAAAATACTTACAGATATCTGACCCATCTTTCAACAATTAATTTAATTATATTTAATGCAACTGAATAATAATCTATATAAAATATAAAATAATAAACACATCGTATTACAAAAGGTAAATAACAAAGTAATAAAATATTTTCAACGTTTTGTACAAATTCCAGGAACAAATATTGACAATTCTGTCAAATATTCTTTTTCAGTAGAATAATCAGGCAGTTATATAAAAAAATATTGTGATACTAACTTTCTTTGTTAAGCAAAGAGGTTCCCAAACTTTTTCGTAGACCCTATCAACATTTCTTTTTGAAGTGCCCATGCTTTGATGAGTTTTTGATGGAGCAAAATTGGAAGATTTTAGATTTAAATAAGGTCCACAAGATACTGTCTTTTCCTGGTCTTCGGCTTGGTTCACAGAACACATCTGCTCCGATTTCTTCTGGCCGCGAAAAGGTTAATATTTAGCATAGTCTAGTTTAGACCTTAACTCCGTCCATGCGGAATAAAAAAAATCTTAATTAGCCTATGTGTTCTTCCAGACTATGTTCTACATCTAAGCCAAATTATATCGAGATTTATGCGCCTGTTTTGGAGATACGATCTAACAAACATCCATCTAAACATTCACACTTATATTTTTTTTATAAGAGAAGAGGGAAAACGAGTGGCGGGAACACCGAGGTGACAACTACAACCATGGACATCTGCAATACCAAAGTAACTGCAGATGTGTTGCTGTCCTTTAAGGAAATGGTATGCTCGCTTCTTGAAGATCCTTAAGTCGTATTGGTTTGGAAAACCGGCGAGGACAGATCGTTCCACAACGCGGCTCTGGGAAGCAAGAAATTGCGCAAGAATCGCACCGTTGTAGAATGATAGCCATCCAGGTTGTGTGGATGGAATGCATGTATGAATTAGTAAGAAGTATAACTTAGTCTAGTATTTTGTAAGTATCAGAGGGTCTTATGAAATAAAACAACAATATTTCTCTATGATTATTTACAAACATTTATTATTTTATTCATTTAAAAAGGAAAATATATCACCTTACACAATTTTATATAATGAAGGCACATACATACAATAAGACATCGATTTATAACAGAAATTAATTATATTTTTAATTAGTATTGGAAATTCTGAGAAATAAAAAATGATTCAATTTCATTAATTGGCCAAAAAATTAAATCAATATTTTAAAATTTGTAAAAAAAAATTAATTTCTATTTTTCGAATTTAATTTAATTTTCAAAATAAGAACGAATTGAATTACAATTGTAAATGCATTAGACCGAATTTTATTGGTAACATTAAAAAAAATACTTGACGGCAATTTAAATAATTATCATTTATTATTCTTAAAATAATCCGTTAAAATGAAAAAAAAAACGTTTTCTTAATTTGAAATTCAAAACTTGTTTTTGTTTTTTAAAATGGATAAGAAAGATGAGATATATTTGATAATTTGCGTATTTCTAGCATAACATATTACTATACTGTAAAAACTACTAAAGTATAATTTACCGTGAGTTTCCACTGCGGAAACATTTTGAAAGTTAAGAACATTTATCCAAGTGTTTCTACAGTGAAAACTCACGCTAAAGACACAATATTATTGTACTTGTCTGTTAAATGTAAAGGAACTAAAATATTTCGTTAACCAAATGTCTGTTTTATTAAATATTTACTTGAATTCTTAATATTTAGGCCTGAGACTAATTAGTATAAAAATATATTTTACATTTATCTTGGTGCATTTATAGATTTAAAATTAAGAGCCTCTTTTAAGAAAAAAATTAAAAAATATCGATACGAATCATTAATGATTGTTATAATTATTTTCTGCCATTTTTTTTTAAATTTAAAGTATTGTAATCAAATTATAAATAACATTTGATTTTAGAAATAAAATAATGATAAAACAAAACTGTATTTTTAATCGTAATGATCGAATTAGATTAAAAATATCCGCCATATTGAAATAGTACGATAATCAGCTGTAGATTATAAAAGCGATCATAGAAAAGACTAGCTGATATTAAATCTGCGAAAGATTAAATTTATTAAATCGTTAACTTTAAGCACCTCGCGTGGAACTCTTTTTTTAAATTACAGGCACATTTTAATAAACTACATTAAATTCATAGATAAACAATCTATAGATAATAAATCCGGAGAACGAAATTGGCGCGAATATTACCTTCGGAGAACTATTTTTATCTGTTACCGCGTAACTTCCCTCCTTTTGCTCCGATTTTGAATTTTTTTTTAAATCGAAAAGTAGTGTTTGCAATAGTGTCTTATTTATTTAAACATTAAAACATAAATTAAATATTAAACATTAGATAAATAAGACACTACTGTCTAGAAGTCTAGTAGATTTTCAATAAAAATTCATAATGCGTTACAAAAATTAATGACATTTTTCCTTTCCTCAATTACGTAAGCTACATTATAGGACCTACATAAAAATTAAATATTAAAATATTGTAACTCTTCAAATTTAAATTATTCAAACTTTCGTGAGACATTATACTAAACTGATATATAAACACGGCTAAACACTCACGTATATACGTCCGGTGGCGGCACCGACTAGTTGACATCCTGATGAAGGGCCTCCGATGGACTCGAAACTAGTCGGTGCCGCCACCGGACGAATATACGTGAGTGTTTAGCCGTGTTTATATATCACTCTTTAAATTTGCTTAATAAAAGTTCAGGATAATATATATTTTTTATAGTTTTTTCACAATAACTATTTTTTTTCTTTATAAACATTAATTGTGTTAAATTTCAAAAGTTAATTTATAAATTATATTTTGGATTATGAATCTTGATTTGACGTCAAATTTGTATGAAAAACTATGTCTACAGATTGTCTATCTGTAGATTATATAATTGGTAATATCTTAAATACGTGTTATAAACTAAAATATTATTTATTTTATTTAAAACTTTATGGCAGCTACATTGACTGGTTTAAATATATTCTGTATTTATTTTTTAAATCTTTTATGAAAAAAATATTTTTATTCTTTTTAAATTTCTATTTTAATTACATTTTTTTGTGAAACGAAATTTTAATTTAAATTGTATTTTAAAGCATAAATTATTATAAAATATTTTTAATAAGCAATTTTAATAATAAACTTAATTTAACGCTAATATGTTACTTAATTACACTTTGGTAATAAACTAATATTTTAATACAATTAATGAACTTATTCTGAGAAAATCGCAACTATAATAAAAATAAAAATATTAAAAGCGAAAAGTTAAGCTAAAAAATTATGTTTTATAGCTAACTAAAAACAATTAAAAATTAATATTTACATTTCAATATGTAGAATAAGGAATACAGCTGCATTTAATAATTAATCGAAATTGATTTTTTTTTAAGTAACTTGGCTTAAGTCGAATAATCGGGAAAGTCTATACAAACGAAAGTAAAACTGGGACAATAAAAGCGTTTTGTACTTATTATTAAAGAGCTGCGAATTAATAGACACGAATAAAATACGAATAAGAACAGCCTAAACGACCACTCTGAGACAAGACACTTTTATTATCTGTGGATTAAGTTTTGGCGGCAAAAAAAAAACTACGGCTGCAAATAATTATTTTACACTATTTCACTGGCATAAAAAAACCGCCATTTGTTAAATGTCAAAGTCAAAGACAACTGTCAAAACTAAAAACTGATAGTGATGTGAAAATTTTAAAACATCGAATAATGTGATTTGATAGATCGAAGTTATCGTATTTTTTTTTAATATTTTTAATTAGCAATATTGTTGTGCATCTTGTCTTCCCACCATTTATATATCGATACTAATAATAAATAATTTAGGCTATGAATTGTTTAAAGCATTCGAACGAGAAGGTACATTAGAGTTGTAGAGATTGCGCTGAGGAGTGTCGGCCGGATGGTGTGGCCGGAGTTGCCTCTGTATACTGGAAGAATATCATAATTTCCATATTAATTATATTCACATTTGGATTAATGCTTTTTATTTACTTTGCTATAAACGAAGTTAAAGATAAAGATATCAATCTTCCCAAAGAAATCATTCTCCCAAAAGAGGTCGCATTCCCAAAGAGTCCCAAATTACAAGTCAGTTCAAAATTTTGTATCTTACCCGCCATTTTCATTTACACCCAAATTTAGCAAATAGTACAAATTATATAGTTTAAGTCAAAGAATGAATAAAAGCATATAAATTAGTATTGAATAAAATGAGATTAAAATAAAAAAAAAAACCCAAAGCATTCTTACCTGACGCATGCTGGATCAACTGTGGCTGAGCTTCTAAAAAAATAAAAGAAAAAAAAAACAAAATAAAAAACATGCCATGATGATGTGTCTTTTAAGTTGATGATAAAAAAAACATGATTTCAAATCAAAGAAAGCAAAGAAAAAATTGGCAAATTTTTAAACTGCAATAAAAGTCTTTGGATATTAATTAAAAAAAATATGTACAAAAAAAAAGGTAAAAGACATTCATTGCTAGAAGCAGTCATCCCAAAGAACATATTCTCTTTCTTCCATCACACTGCATCTAGACTACGTTCTTTCTTTGGTATTTTCTTTCATCTCTTTCTCATTTCAACAATAATTCTCTTCTTTCATGTCTCACTTCTTTCTTTCATTAATCTTTTCTTTCTTGACTTCTTTCAACTTACCAATATCAACGAAGGCAGGAGGTGTGTGCTGGCTCCAGCTCTTTTCATTCTTCACTTTGACAGTCGCCTCGTACTTTCCAGGCTCCAAGTCCTGCTCCGACAGCGGATAGATGATTTCATATTCATGCGTCTTGATGTCAGGCAGCGGTACATTGATCGTCTTCCATTGTCCTTCCTGAAAGTTAACGTTTACTTTGGTTAATGGACAAAACCTTCATAAGATAAGCTAGACTTAACTTGAAATTCTAACGAATAAAAAAAACTTTTCAAAACGTGAGAAATCACGTAACTTGATTATGAAATGTCGAAAAAACAACTCGTAAGTTAGTACTACAACGTGTTCTAGCCACAGTTATTTGCCACTTACCGCACTCATCTGACGAAGCTGCAGCTCGATCTGTTCCAGCGGCTGGTGCGAGTGTATGGTCCAGGTCAGCTTGGGTCCGTCTACATCCAGATCTTCCACGACCGGCTCCTGCACCAGCTCGATTGACCTGTTATGTTTGCCCAGGTCGTTGTCGGCCTGCGAATGTACAGTGTACAGTTATTTAATTATTTTATTAATAAAAAGTTTGCAATTTTAAAAGAAAAATGTATAAATAAAAAATAATTAAAATTTATTTGTAATTTAAATTTTATTGTTTTTAAATTAAATAAAAAGAATGGCTTATTTTATTTTATTTCCAAACAAAAAACTGATATTACTTGAAACATTTTAAAATTGAAGATCTTATGGGTTCTTATGTTCTTACCTCACAAGTGAAAGTTCCGAAGTCCTGATCACTGGTAGGTGTGACAGTCAGGTTGGAGTGGTGGTCGCGTGTGCTCACTGTGAACTGACTCGATGTGTCCTCGATCAGAGAACCGTCTTTGTACCAGCGGATGTGCGCACTGGAAGGAGAAAAGCTCATATTACTAATATTATAAATACGAATGTTTAGATGGATGTTGGAACGGCTGTATGGATCTCGATGAAATTTGGCATAGACGTAGAACATAGTCTGGAAGAACATATACACTAATTAAGTTTTTTATTAATTCCGCGCGAACGGAATCGCGGGCAAATGATAGTAAATCATTGATAAATAAATAAATAAATAATTTATATAGAAATGATTATTTGTATATAAATTATTCATTTAAAAATTACTATTTGAAAAATATTACCAAATTTAAATTATCTATTTTAAAAGCGCGACGTAAAAAATGTTTAAAAATAAATTTAATTTAATTCTTAATAAGATTATTAATTAATTTGTTTGTCACCAGTGACTCAAAAGTAAGGCAGTTTGTAAACTTACGGGGCGGCTTCGTGAACAGAACATTGTAATACAGCTTCCACGTTGACGGCGGAGTTGATGATAGCTTTGGGCACGTGAACACGAGGTTTGCCTGCAAGTTACAAGATTTACGTTTAAAAAAAACAATATTGATCCCAATTAACTTTTAGACCAGAAATTAAACACGAAAAATTATATTTTTTACAAAGCACTTTTTGGTTGGTTTACATTATGCCAGTACAGTAAGACACTACTAGGTTGGCATCAACTGTACGTGCTCACTGGAGCTTAGTGTTTATAATGTGCAAGTTGTATGCAGCACTATTAAGCGGTACTGTACTGGAATAATGCAACCCAAATAATCTTTTGAAAAGTAAAGATAATTAGTGAAATATCTACTAAAATACTTTTTTACAACAACATAATTCACGCCCGTAACCTACATGGGTAGGCAGAAACCATAGACATCCATTTGTCGCGCTTCTGACACATTTCTCTTCTCCATATATACATACACTTTCTATGCTCTAAATACCGCCATTCTTGAGTATTTTAGACTTTGACAATTAGATATATTAATACAAAACCCAAATGGGACTTGATGGCGACACTTTTGTTAGTTTTAACAGTGGTAGAGCCCGCTTTAACATCTTCGCACGAATTGGTTCGGCTCGCCCGATGAAATACCACGACCACACAGAAGACAGGCGTAAAGTGGAAGCTATTCCAACTACAGTCTGATGAGTGAGCGTCCCGGAGGCCTAATTAAATCCTCTTTCCCTTCCCACCCTTTTTCTCAAAGGATGGGAAGTGGAAGTGGACTTTCCGGATGAGATTATGCATGGAAGGGGAAAATATTTTCTTTCTGTGCATCCTCTTCTCCGTCGATTAAAGTTAGGCAACGCATATGCAATTGCGTATGTCTATGGGCAACGGTTACTTCGCTATTTCAGCGATTTCAGGTGGCCGCTCGCTCGTTTGGCACCTTATGATATAAAAAAACTTCTGAGTTTTTAAAACGACATAGGACAGGACTAAGAAATGATTTTCTATATTAATCCTCCTTTATGCGGACAAATGGACAAAAGCTAGTAGAAATATACTTTTTTTAATACTTACTTTTAACAACAACAGTAATTTCAGCCTGTTTGTTGCCGACTCCATTGAACGCGTAGCAGTAATATTTGCCCGCATCACTCGTCTTCACGTTCTTAATATGGAGGCTGTTGATAGAGAACTCGCCGTCCTTCTCTTGCAGGCGTTCGTTCTGAGGATAGAGAGAGATGGCATTAGTTTTATGAGTTTCACTTCAAAGTCTTTCTTTCGTTGACATAAAAGTCAGTACAAAAATATTTTTCCTCTCTGTCTTTCTTTTGGAATGTAAAAGAGATAGTATAAAGTTAACGCACTTACAATGGTTAATAGTGGGTTTCTGAGACCGAAATCTCTGTATAAAACATATCTTTTGTCAAAACATAGATGACAATATGTTTTAGACGGGGATTTTTGTCTCAGAAATCTTCAGTAAGTGACTTTTTATATATATCTTTGAAAAATTTATGAACTATTGTATACAGTCGAATCTGCTGCAGAAAATCTCTAAAAGCGAGAGTCTTTGTCCCGTTCAGAATGATCTTCAAAAGCGAGAAACTCAAGACTCAAACTTTTAAAAACCAAAAAACATATCATGATTCTAGAACTCATCATCATCAGCTCACTATACGTCCCCACCGAGGAGCTCGGAGCCTACGCAAAGTTAGGGGTGATTAGGCCATAGTCAACCACACTGGCCAAGTGCGGGTTGGTTGACTTCACTCATATCTTTGAATTTCTCAGATATGTGCAGCTTCACGATGTTTTCCTTCACCGTTAGAACGTCGGATAAATGTACATATGTAAATCGGAAATCGAAAAACACATTGGTTCATTTCGGGATTCGAACCCAGGACCTGCAGATTGCAAGTCAAGTGCTTGACCACTGAGCCACCGACGCTCATCCATTATATTAGTTTCATTCAAATATTATCTAACAATTCTATTAATATCCAGACAAACGTCATTCTCTATATAATGACGTCAGCAATCAATATATACAAGTTTATCTAACTAGTCTATTGATAAATCCCACACACGATGTAACAAACAGAAGTTAATACAAAAAAGTATTTTATTCCAAAGGAATAAGGTTTATATTAGCTACAATTATTTACTAAGTTGGTCGTGTATCGATAACTTCTGTCTATCATGATTACAACACTATGACAGTTTTAGTTTGGAATAAATTTATTAACGTAACGGTAGAAAAACATATTTTTTTAAACTGTTTTATCTATATTGAAAAGTATAGCTAATTCCGTTAAAAACTCTTTTTTTTTTAATACAGACGGGGGCAAACGAACAGCGGTAACACCGAGGTGTTCAACGACGCCCATGGACATCAGCAATACCAGAGGAACCGCAGATGCGTTGCCGTATTTTGAGGTGGTGATAAGCTCTCTTACACAGATAAACTAACAATTATATCGTAATCTTACATGTTACAAATTTTATAAATGCGAAAGTCTAGATTGACAAATGTTTGTTTGAAAGTAGCTCCAAAATGGCTGCATGTATTTCGCTGATTTTTTTTACGCTGCGCGCATCGAGTCGCTGGCGACAGCTAATTTTTTTAAAATTTCTGGCAAAACTAAAAATGTCAAATAATCAAAATAGCTGCCATGTATGGAATTTAACTTGAATCTGATTATTTAGGCTTCTAATCGAATAGGTTAGATGTTTTATGGGAATTATTAAGGGGACGCTCAGAAAGGGGAAGTCTGTGCGTCTCCTTTTCATCCGATTAAAGATCAACGAATGTTTTCATTAAGAACATACTTACGACCACAATCCTACTTTATGTTTATCTACTAGCTGTCGCCCGCGACTCCGTGCGCGCGGAATTTAAAAGAAACTATTGGTCGCAGCGTAATGTTATATAGCCTAAAGCCTTCCTCTATAAATGGATTATCCAACAAAAAACTTTCAAATCGGACCAGTAGTTCCTGAGATTAGCGCGTTTAAACAAACAAACTCTTCCTTCTATAATATTAGTATAAATTAATTCTAAGAAAATATGATTGTATAGTATTTCTTAGTATTATATTTATAAGTCTAGACTTTGTTGACACATCGTGTAAGCGGTCGAAGACAGATAGTTACTCAATATCAATAAATTCATTGTATTAAATGAGAGTCACAAAGTAGCATCTAACAATAACTACGTGGCTTATGTGTCCTAGGTGTCACCCGCGACTCTATCCGCGCGGAATTAAACAAAATATAGCATATGTGGTCTATCAGACTATGTTCTACATTTATGCTAAATTTCAGCATGATCCACGCACCTGCTCTGGAGATATCTTCAAACAAACATCCATCTAAATATTCGCATTTATAATATTAGTAAGATTAAATTGATTAATACCAGTAGACAACGAGTTTATTAACAAAATACATTTATCTAAATTATCAAGATTATGCTTTGAGTAAAAATAAATATTGTTGTTAGTTGAGATGATATTCCAGACTATTTTTTCTTTGTTTTTTAGTTTGGTTACTTTTATTTTAAAGATTCAGATGTTTAAAATTGTATACCGTTGATATCTGAGACCAAAGTCTATATAAAACATATCGTCATTCCTATAATTTGACAAAACAGAGATATTAATATGTTAAACGAGATTTGTCTCAGAAACCCACGGTTAAGTTCTAAAGAGATTAGTGATATATTACATTTGGATCGACTAATGTATAAATGCTAAAATCCTATGTAAATGAAGTCCCAATAAATTTATCCAACACTCCTAAAATCCTCTATTATCTAGAAAGCTAAATCAGACCATAAACTGCTCGACGGAATTAATCTATACCGATGACGTCATTCTGACGCACTGAAGTGATGTCGTCCTCAGTAATCAAATTTATTTCACAGAATTAAGGCCGTGTTCGTAATAATTTAAAAATGAGCAGCTTCTATTCTTTTTCTTCTTCTTTTTTTTAACAAAAAAAGCCATTGTAGTACCATTTTTGATAAAGCTTGGTCCCTCGAGCCAGCAATTGAAAATGGCTGGCTGTTCTTTTTCCTACGACGTATAAAACAAGAGAAAATCTAAATCTTGTGCAAAGAAAGGAAAACTATGCTGTTCTTCATCACCATATGCCTGTCCTTTTTACTCTTAATGAAATTTTCGTCATTTAGGCCTCCTTCCTTCGACAACTCCTAACTTCATTCATATTAAAAATGTCATCACAAATAACAAATACTTACTCCATTGCCAGTGTCTCTTGACCAGATGATCTGTGGGGGAGGAGAACCACCAACAACACAGGTCAGCATCAAGTTGGAACCTTCCACAACTTCTCCATTGTTGGATGCAGAGAATTCTGTAAAAGAAAATTGGTGATCATGTAAATTTATAATATTAAGGTATTATTTAAACAGTAAGGCTTATTACTGCTCAGAGACACCGATTAATCTACACTAAGGAGAGTTAAGTTTAATTGTAGTTTAAGTAACTATAAAAGGACTCTTGGTATGGTAGTTAACTCTGTCTTAACTCAGAATAGTGAATCTCATTGAAGAAAGCCTTAAAATATATAATCTATCCTTCTATTTGCATTTCGTCTGTGAAATTATTAAAAAATATTGAAACCCCAGTATTAGTTAATCCTCTCCTTTATTACTTGTTCCTCCTTCGTTGTTTATTTGCTTTTGTAACCAACTAGCTGTCCCCCGAGACTCCGATTGCGTGGAATTAAAAAAAAACTTAATAAGTAGCCTATATTTTCCACAATATGTTCTACATCTATGCCAAATTCCAATAAGATCTTTTAAGTCGTTCCAGACATAACTTCTAACAAACATCCATCCAGTAAGATTATATGTACATTTGATACAAATTTTCTAATTTTTACGTTTGCCATTAGGTCTACTAACTTCACCAAGCATGTTTCATATATGCTTCCTTTTTAATATTACAGAATACTCACTGACTATCTTCGGTTTTTCTTGGATATTTAATGTATGTTCAATAGTAACTCTGTTTGTTTGCAGAACTTCACACTTGTATGTATCGCTATCGGCTATGGTCACATTTTTGATGAGAAGATCTGTTGAGTTTGCAGGACTGGAAGAGAAATACGATGGTTATTTAATGTTACCGGCTTATAGTTACCGAATGCATAAAGTCAAGGACAAGTTTCAAAGCGTTAATGACCTAATGGTTAAAGGAACGGATTTCCGAGAATGTGGTCTACATTTCGAATCTCTCTCATTGACTATTGTCGTAAATCCTCCTAGTACAAGCCTAGAGGTTACTTGGAATGTTACAAGAAATATTGGTCAATTAACAAAAATCTGCTAACATATAATAAAATAAAAATAAAAACATCATTGCTTAAGTTGTGAGAAATAAAAGTAATCAGAACCTTTACTTATAAAGAAATATTTCACTCACATGGCCCAGAATAGGCTCATTCACCTTCCGCAATCACAATTCCGTACATTCCTGTACACTTTTTTGTATTTGATAAGTTTTGAAGCATACTCACATTGATATCCTTTGGTTCTGAGCGTAGGAAGTTGCGTGCTGGTCTTGCGTCTTCATTGTTCCGAAGAAATACATTGTACCATTTTTAGTCCACTGAACAACTGTGCCGTCTGTAACGTAAAAGAACAATTTTTAAATAGTCAAATATTTATAGTAGTTAATTTAATGCTTAAGTATCCAGTGCCAAGAATCTTTATAATAAATCTTTATACAGTTAACTCTATGTCTTTTTCAAAGGGAACAAGAAGGATGATAATTTTGTATAGGTTCTTGGCAAAAACCCAAAGTTAATATAAAGCTTAAAAAAATGTTTAATATATGGGACTAAGCGTTGGTTCTTAAGACCAAAACTTCTGTATAAAATATGTCGCCATCCCAGTCAATATCTTTGACAAAACAGAGATGTACGTCTTTGAAACCCACGGTAAAATAGGCAAAGTGCTGACAAATATAAAATACACGAAGTATTCCTGATTATGTGTTATTCAAAGTATGATTATCTTTTTTTAGCGTTCCAGAAGAAAAAAAAACGGAACCTTCATAGGATCACTTTGTTGTCCGTCCGTCTGTCTGTCAAGAGTCTTTTCTCAAAAACGCGTCAAGGTATCAAGCTGTCATATTTTTAACTTGTACTCTATTTCGAATAAATGTAATTTTGTCGTTCTTAGTAAGTACTAAAATAAATATTTAGGAAGTAACTCATCAACTTAAACGCTCATTGACATGAAGATAATAAACGTTAACAATACGAGATAATAAAACTGCAAACAGTAATTCCCGCGCATTCCGTCCGCCATCTTGTTTGTACAGTTAATCGGAAACGACGGCGCAATTTGGCGCCAACGGAAACGTAGTCGTTGCGCAATACTTTTTATTGCGTAATGAATCTTTTTAAAATAATTCACGAACGTTTAAAGGAAGCCCATAAAATGTTTAGAATTAAATTGTTTGCGGAAGTGATCCGTCTGGGACATGATTTGACAATTTCTTAAAATAAAAATAAAATGTATATTAAAAATATTGTACCAACATTTGATGAATTAAATTCAATTTTAAAGTTGTACTTTTTAGCAAGTTTTTGCAAATGTGTAAAACTAACTGTCGCCCGCGACTCTTTCGTGCGGAATTAAAAAAAAAATGTAACCTATTTGTTCTTCTAGACTTAGTTCTATATGTATGCCAAATTTTATTAAGATCCGTTTAGCTGTTCTGGAGATACCTTCAAACAAACATCCATCTAAACATTCGCATTTATTATATTACCTATAGTAAGAAGTAAGATAATTCTACAAAAGTCATACGTAGTAATTAGAAGCGTCTTATTTATATAAAACCTATGTATTTTGTCAAAAATATGGTAATAAAATTTCTAACACAACAAAATTAGTTACCAATAGAATAATAATGACATAACGCCATCATAAAACGTAAAAAAAGCTCAAATATTCATCCATACCAATGACTTATTGTGTATTATATTATGTTAAAATATTTAAAAAACTAAACACGTACTAAAGTGTGAATACTATTTACATTATTTGTAGCCATAGAATTTAATGCCCTTCCCACTGAAATCAAATACAGTGAAATGTTATCATAAGAGACATTTCACCTTATTGTGTTTTAAACGTCACATCGTTCATCGAAATGGGTAGGGTATTTACTTCCTCGACTGTGTAAGCGGCGTTCCCTCATACATTTGTGATGCTAAATAGCCATGCGATTAGAATATTATATATATATTATAATAATATTAATAAGAATGGTGTGACACCTGGCGGATGACGATGTAATAGAAAAGCGATTGTCAATCGACACATTCGTTTTGTTTCAAATTATTAAATACTAGCTGTGAGCCGCGACTGAGCCTGCGATGAATTAAAAAAAAAAACTTAATAGCCTATGTGTTCTTCTAGACTATGTTCTACATCTATACTAAATTTCATCAAGATCCGTTTAGCTGTTCAGGAGATATCTTCAAACATCCATCCATCTAAACATTCGCATTTATAATATTAGCAATATACTTATGTCAAATTAAGAGCACTTTATATTATTAAAGAAGTCCTTCGTCCTCAGATTTCTAACTGAAATCTAACCTCAATTTAGTTTTAAGCTAAAGTGTTTTAGTAACTATCAGATTCTATGTGCTAGTTAGGGTAATTTAAGATTTGTACTTACCAGCAGGTGACACTTTGCACTCGAGTCTGACATTATCGCCAAGTGTGATGTTGTAGTGGGTCGACTGCGTCAGAATCACCGCAGACACTTCAGGTTCTTCATCAGCGTCATTGCCTGTAACAGAATAATGTGATGCTGGAGATCATATCATTAACATACATACATATATATCATATACATCTCCACTGAGAGCCTACCCTAAGTTAGTAACTAGGTCATAGTAAATGCTGGCTTAGTACGGCTTGACTTCACACATATCTTTGAATTTCTTCACAAATATGTGCAGGCATCATGATGTTTTCCTTCACCATAAACATATGTCAATCGAAAAAGAAAAAACTCTTTGGTATATGACGGGATTCGAACCCAGAACCTGCAGATTACAAGTCAAGTGCTTTGGCCCTGAGCCACCGACGCTCTGGCCCTAAGCCACCGACGCTCTCATGGAGATCATATGATGTAAAATTGGAGCTGATTACAACTCTAGTAGACATATTGAAATGTCAAACCATTGCTATTTTGGGTAGCTGTGGCGATATACCAGCTTTACTAATAGCTTTAGATTTAAAAACTAAAGAATTTTAAACATACAATGTACTGTTCCTAAATTGATGTTAAAAAGGCATCCAAATAGAAATGCGATACTTAACTAAGCATTATATTAAGAATAAACTAAAGCAACTTAAAGATCAGAGGACCTAACATGAATATACGTGAAAAGTTTTCGTAACGTCATCTACTTTGTATTAGAAGTATTACGAAGACGCGTGTTGCAAATTATTCGTACTAGGTCCTTTGTAAGTTGCTTACTAAGAATTATATAAAAGTGTTTTCTTACCTCCATCACCGTCGTTCTGCGCCTCATCGTCAATCGCCGCGTCAGCGAGTACGTCGTAATCATCAGTCTGACGCCGGTGCATCGAGTGCCGCGCTTCTGTAATAACATTGTACTATTAGTAATTAGTTCATGCGACTTTGTTCGTGTAGAATATATATTTTATATCATAAGTGGCAAACGAGTGGCCACTTGAATTCGCAGAAATATCGAAGAGACTGCCCATAGATTCGTAATTGCAGATGCGTTGCCCACCTTTAATCGATGGAAAAGGGGACGCGTAGAAAGGGACTATATATCCTTTCTATGCGTCCTCCGTTATATCCACTTTCGCTTCCCATCCTTTCCTTATAAGAAAAGGGTGGGAAAGGAAAGATGAAATTTGGCGCTGGAACTAACAATCGTTCTATTCAACACTATGTCATGAGTATGGAAAGAGACTGACTATTTGAAATTGAGAAATAGGTAAAGAATATTTTTGAACACAATACTTATATAATTTCTATTTTAAATCACAGTTTACGTAATAGTGAAAGTAATACTGTGAGCCCTGCATTCTATTGTGAAATAAAAAAAAAGAAATACAATAAATTGGTTACGTAGTTTCATTTTTACGCTTTGGATTCAAATTTTAGAAATAAATAGCGGTCACTCGCGACTCCGTCAGCATGGATATAAAAACATAATAAGTATGTGTTTTTCCAGACTATGCTTTATATGTATGCCAAATTTCGTCTATCTAAACATTCGCATTTATAGTATTAATAAGATTTTGTTTTAAAATGTTTTTTATGAAGTCTTTAAAAGGTAAACGTCCTGTAGGTACTAAAATATTTCCTAAAAATCCATATTTCTTTACATAATTACCATTCATAAAAATTCTCCCATAAATAGTAACACTATTAACAAGTTAAACTACACATAAAAGATTTAAAAAGCTTCTATTTATATTTTCCTCAAATACCCACGTATTTCAAACTTTACGACTTTGAATATAGTGAAATGGACTAAGCAACGAATCTAATTGTAATAAATTACACCATTTTGCTTCATCAACTACGTCCCCACTGAGCCGGAGGCTACCCTAAGTTAGGAGTGACTAGGCTAGTCAACCATGCTGACCCAATACTGTTTGATAATTCCTAAAAAAGTTAAACGTCTTTATGAACCTAAGTAACACAAATGCAAGTTCATATTGTTTGTTTTTGACAGAGCAGAATACGAGTTAGACAGGTCCTGTCTGTTAAAGGTCAAAGTTCAATGAAGACATTTACATAAGCATGATTTTCCCATAAATGTCTACTCAGCGTTGTGCGGTCTTTCCAAATTTGGTATGGTAGACGGCTAGTAGCTTTTACGTATGGTACAAGTTAAGAGTAAAAGCGATTCTATTTTTGTCCTTATATCCATTAGAATAATCTTACTAATATTAAAAATGCGAATGTTTGAATGGAGAGATATTTGTTTGAAGGTTTGGTACATATGTGAAACATAGTCTGGAAGAACAATTATGTTTTATTATTTCTCCGTGGACGGAGTCTCGAGCAAAGCTAGTGATGGTATATTTTAGAAATAACTGACTAATTAACAAATTATTTATTTAATAGATAGATTAATTAGAGCGTAAATAATGATTTTATGCAATTATACATTTTCTATTATTTAAACAGATTTCAAATAAAAAATTAGTGTAAAGGTGACATTAATGTTATAATTTACTTTTACTAATGCAATTTCATTTCTTTTGTTTTTTAAATATATTTAGTTGTTCGTGTTATGAGTTATTTAATGCCCTTTGTTACATAGATAAATATTTATTTGATGTTACACAAATTAATAAATTCGTCTAAAGTCAAAAGTCGCTTAGTTTAAATAAATCCGTGGTCAACCAAATCGCTCCCGCTTCCGCTTATCGCTACTGTCTATATTTTACACCATACTCGTCTGAACGCGTGCCCGTCTCTCTCCTGCTTCTATTACCCGGTGAATAACTCAAATTGTTTCCAGATCGTACCGATACAGCGTGTTTAGTTTGCCCTTATACGGACTCTACTGTACGCCATTGAAACTGGAAACATTATGATGTTGATTTTATCTTATACGATAATTATGGTAAATTCTAACTTCATATGTTTACTGCCACACTGAGAGCTGTTTCTTGGTTATTTACACAGTCCCTTAGTGTAGATTTCTATGACTTAGAGACATATAAACCTCTGGTTATGACATAACATAGTGTCCAACGTAAATAAACGTAAGTGCATAATTTTACAGGAAAGTATGTTCAATATTCATCATCATCTACTTACTATACGTCCCAACTGTGGGCCTCGGAGTCTACCCAAGTTGGGGTGACTAGGCCATAGTCAACCACGCTGGCCAAGTGCGAGTTGGTTGACTTCACACATATCTTTGAATTTCTTCTCAGATATGTGCAGGTTGCCTCACGATGTTTTCCTTCACCGTAAGAACGTCTGATAAATGTACATATGTAAATCGGATATCGAAAAACACATTGGTACATGGCGGGTTTCGAACCTAAGAGATTCGTGCAGATTGCAAGTCAAGTGCTTGACCCCTGAGCTACCGACGCTCTATTTTCAATATTAGGACGATTATTTTATTTTACTTTTGACCTTTATAAATGGACTAGATATACGAGGTAGTATCTTGTGCCATTTTGCCGCTGGTAGTAGTTTATAGCGGTTATATATAACTAATAATATTGATAGAATTGTCACACATCAATCAGGCGTGTTTAAATCGGAACGAAGTAAAAAAATAATCACATATCCTTTTATAAAGATCAGTGACTTTTATAAATGGAAACTGATTACAAAGACTGATCTAAACGTTCGCATCTATATATTAGTAGGATTATTGCAAAATTGTGGGATACGATTTTTATGTTGGATTCGTTGACTTTTAAGATTTTTTTATAAAAAAAAAGTATAATTTATTTTAAACTAAATCTAACTGCAATTAAAAGAAGGAAGGAAATATTACTTATTATTGTATTCTTATAAATGTTAATTTGCAATTTATGTTCGTAGTGTGTTGTGATGGTATAGACAGAGTGGAACCTTTTGGAATATTAATAATGCGGGGAAAGACTCCATGTCGGTTGTCATGCATTGCGAATACTGATTACAATGCTTTATACTTTGTTTTTAAACGTTTCTGCACGTTTTAATGACATATATTATACATAGAACTGTGTTTTATTTGGATAACATGAACTAAAGGATTATGATTGCTAATACAGCAATCGCCCGCGAAACTGTCTACGGGGAATAAAGAGAACTTGTTCTACATCTATGCCTAAGTTCAACGAGATCCAGGCAGCCATCTATCTAAATATTTGCATTTATAACATTAATAACATAGTAAAAGCGTCGGTGGCTCAGGAGTCAAGTATTTGACCTGCAATTTGCATGTCCTGGGTTCGAATCCCGCCATGTACCAATCTGTTTTTCGATTTCCGATTTATGTACATTTATCCGACGTTCTTATGGCGAAGGAAAACATCGTGATGCTGCACATATCTGAGAAGAAATTCAAAGATATGTGTGAAGTCAACCAACCCGCACTTGGCCAGCGTGGTTGACTATGGACTAGTCACCCGTAACTTAGGGTAGGGTCCGAGCCCCACATTGGGGACGTAAAGTGAGCTGATGATGATGAACATAGTACGAAGTAAGATAGTCAGTAGGGATTATTTATATATTTTAAGGTTATTGAATATAACATAATTTTTCCTAGACTAGGTAAAATGCGTCACCTAAGTACAATATGACCTAGTCATTGCGGTACAGTCGCGCACATAACTCGTCCCTACGTTTAATTGTCATTATTTGAAGTGCCCCGCTTCTGTGGCCTGCGAGCAATCATTCTGTCACGAGTCGACTTCCTATATGGTCAAAGAGTAAACGTACAGAGCCGTCTGTTCATTCAAAAATAGGTACAATCTTATATAGACGATATTATAACTTAATTTTGACTGCAGTTAGGTTAGTTGTAGAAAGCTTTATTGAGAAGAATTTAATTTCTAGAAAGTAATTTAAAAAAAAAATTTCGAATACATCTTTCAAATATTAGTACAAACATAAAAATTAATCTTTCAATTGACAGTCTGACGTTTCAATTATCATTGAATGTCAATGTGACTCTGAGAGCCTTGTAGGTAATAAATAAATCAACGCCGCGTCTGTTTAATGCTTACTCTTTGTGATTAATTGAGTAGCGACCTGAAAGTGCGCTGCATTTGTTGCTGCACTCGGGTTACATTTCCTTGACACATATGACACCAAATGACAATTATGTATTTGACATAAAAATGTATACATATAAAGAAATGAGAGGAAAAAGAAAAAAATAAATGGTTCTTTAGTAAAAGTTTTAGCTCTAGTAGCAAATTTTTGACGCCGTCTTTTTATAAATATTTGGTAATAAGGTTATGTGAGCCTGTAATCATACCTTTGGCGTCTCTTTCCATCCAGTGCCATATCCTAACGCGGCCACTGGATAGACCATCTGACCGCTTAGTCTAGGACAGGCTTAGGGCCATTATTTATAAGAGACCGCTGGATTTAAACCTTAGTAAGCCTGTGAAGCATCTTACTTCTTTACCACCATCAACCTGTCCTTTTCTCTACGTAGTGACTTCACAATATTAATCTTCCAAACATCTCTATCTTTTGATCTAGTGACGTCATCAGACAGACATTAGAAATCATAACTTCTAGAGTACATTTTGACGTTAGACTTTATTTTATGAGACATAAAGATAATATTCCCTTGCACCCTTAATCGAATCTATTTCAGTTCCCAAGTCGCTAATGAAAATGGCAATAGCCAATTGGATCACCAATTAGACAGATTAGGAGCGGCTTTTACCTAATTGTCCCTGACCTGGATTAGTATTTATTGCCAAATTTCTATTACTAGTAATAATTTATCGGTTTGTCTATAATGATACAAGTCACGGTACATTCGAATGGGGAATTTATGAATATTGTATTTAGTTTAGCTCGATATGACCAAGTTTTTGTTTTTAACTGGCGGCAATGCCTCCATCTCTACTGGCATGGTGGCAAGAG